ATAATTTACTCAAGGATTACTGAGATTTATGCAATATAGGAAACCTGTATTAACTATACGATAGTCAAAGAAGATTGTAAATAGATTGGGCTACAATGGTCGCTCACACATCGCAGGTACACTGAGGATCGGTATCTTCCGTATCTTTAGGATATCAATAAGCAATTTTTTTAAATAAAAAATTACTCTGTGGCAGAGATAGGGAAAAGTAGACAACTCGAATTTAAGCCCGTCAAATAAAAATATAGTTACTATATATATATTAGTTTATTTTTTATTTTTAATGAGGAAATTACTGGACCATACCAACATTGTTAAAGAGAGATAAACTAACAATTAGGGGAAAAAGGTATTTACTCACTTTGGTCCTGGTTATCCCTGTAAACCAAATTTCTAAAGCGACAAAATTAATACAAATTAATTTAAAGCATTTACTCCAAACATACGTAAAAAAAAAAGTAGGATCCACGGCGAACCAACGTAGCTAGTGCACGACGTGTGGCTGCACAATGAAAACTAGGGGCAATGAATCCAGCCTTCTTTGGGCGATTCAGTGCAGGGACCGTCGCACACCTGAAAAGAATATCTTGGCGTAGAAACAATCCTGGTTTTATTTGCAGAAAGAGCTTCAGGCAAGCTTTTTTTCTTTGTTTCTGGCACGTTTACAAACTTTTCATTTTCTTTTTTATCAAAATGTTCTCTCAGTAGCTGCTTTATTAGAGTGCTAGTCAGGATTTCAGACTGTTGACATTTCCTCTTTCGTCCAATTTGATCACGTTGGTTAGCAAACGGACAAAGGTAAACATCATGTGGATAAGAACTGGTGAATGATCTTGTTCGAAATGAGTGAGGAAATTACTCAAAGACGATTCAGTTTTTTGAAAGCGAAACTCTGTCTGAATATTTCTGAAGGATTTAAGGATCATAAAGATAAGTAGGATAATCTGGAGTAACATCAGGATATGGACTATCAGTGACAGAAAGTGGAGTATAATCAAAATCAGAGAAATACTGTGGTTGTAAGAATAAATTCCATGGATAACTGAACCCTCTGTCCTAGCGAACACAGAGTTATACTTGCATGTCTCCAAATACGCCCAACTAACTATTCATCCCCTTCTGCTCCATTTTTAAAACTGAACTTTTTTGCGTAAAATCATTTTAGATATTTCACAAATTGTTACTGTTGTTCTTAATTAAAAACAATACTAGATAATCCTAACTTACTTAAAAGTGCCCCCTTTGTACATGTCTGCAGAGCGTTGCATATGGAAAATTGTACTTCGAGGCGCAGAGTTCAAAGTTCCAAACGCACCTTCTTGAATTGTTTTCTCTATTTTAATTCTATTCTACATCCCTTGACTGGTTTTTCTTAAACATTTGTACATCTGAAGTACATCATAAGTTCAAATTATTTAAAACAAAGAGATTATACACTTAAAATACAACATTTTACCTTCAGATATGAACATTTCAAATTACACTGATGCTTAAAATAATCTGTACAAAGTGAAAGGTTATCCATTTTTCCCTGTACACTTTGTCCCACAATTCAAATAAAATTTCATAGGTTATGGCCGCCAAAATAACGAACAATAAAATTCCATTAAAATGTGGAATAGGTAAACTATCACACGTCCAGTAACAGTACTATATTTTTATAGCTTTTAAAACTTGTTGGAAAATCTATTACTCATTTAAAATATCATAACAAAGACGCAGAATACTAAATGACGATGACTACAGACATGAAACCCCAATTACCCTGGGAATTAGCATTTGTTTCTTAGTTACGGGCGTTTTGGTAGTGCATTACACCGACCCTCCTGCGATTTCGGAATGGCGTGTGCATCAAATTTGGCCAAAGACTCGCCAAAACGGCTACGGAAACCTATGAAATCCTAAAGCAAGCATTTGGGGAGTCCGCAAACTTTGGTGTGGCATTCACGTTTTAAAAATGACCGAACCTCTGTCGATGATG